CTTATTTTACACTAATATGACGTCAAGAGTGTTAAGCTTTTTTATCTACGAAGCTGTTTAATCCAAAATTCGTTTTATATTGATAAGTTTCTATTAATTAAAAAAGAATTAACGAAATTAATTCGGCGCGCAGTTTAAAATGACTGAAATATAGAATTAAGATTTACATAGAAATTATTAGGTGCCAAGATTCAGCCTCGACCGTTTAAGGCGCTTTCATTTGAATTGTGTTTATCACTTACGCGGTTTATATTCTAATTATTGTTTATCATGTTTATTATGTGCATGATTAGTTCGAAATTGATATTTGTTTTAAAAAAATGGAATAACTGTTAAAATTAGTTAAACTGATTTTGCGACTAAGAAAAAAATTAAAACTTTGCAATTTAAACTACGCGAACTCTATAACATTAAAGTTTTATACTATTGTTTACAGATGTAAGATTAAAGATAATATTTAGGAACAATTTAATATATATCATTTAAGGTCCGGATACATTTAAGGCTGAAAAATAACAAAATACCTTATTTTTATTTTTTTTTTGCCACGTTCTACCAAATCAAAAAATCTGAAAAAAATATCGAATATAATATATCATAAGACTTATCTACTGAATTATTTTAAAAGTGGCCAATTTTTTAGATCTAGAGAAAATGCGATTAAAAATATTCTGGATTTTTTAAAAACAGAATTTTCCAGCACAGAACGACAACAAAATTCAAACTTATGTATGTGATAGCCTTTATAATCATGAATTTTTTGTAAAGATTAATTTAAATTTAGCGGAGAAAAAAAATATTAATGAAAAATCACATCTTTTCTAATATTTTGAAATTGTGGGTCTTTTGAAATGAAACAAAATTTTCTTTTATCTGGGTGGACATTTTGCCCACTATGACGATCGATTACGCGCGGAGCCCGAAATCCCCTCCTTAACCCACTAGACCCTTTATATTCCTTACATATTTTCACTATTCTTTGTAGAGTCTAAAAGGAACAGGATTATATGGTTCTATAACATCCAAAGATTTGGAAGGTGTGGCGGTACAGCCAGTAAAACCAGCAGTAACTGGCATTGGCGTGCCAACTGGAGTAGATATTCCTGTATCGAATATACGTGCGGTTATCGCTAAACGCTTGTCGGAGAGCAAGCAGACGATTCCGCATTATTATCTCTCTGTAGATGTAAAAATGGATGGCGCATTGGCGATGCGAGAACAGTTTAATAAATTGTTAGAAAAGGACAAAATGAAAATAAGCGTAAATGACATTATCATCAAAGGAATGGCAATGGCTTGTAAAAAGGTACCAGAAGGTAATAGCGCCTGGTTAGGAAATGTAATTCGACAGTAAGTACTTTATTATGTGTAAATTACTGTTTTTATAATATATTTATGTATTAAATATTTAATTATAATGGTTTAAAGTTCTTTAAATTTTTTTTAATATTTTACATTGAATATCGTCTCGCATCTTTTTTTAGATATAATAATGTGGATGTCAGTGTAGCAGTGAGCACGGATAGCGGTCTAATCACTCCCATAGTGTTTGGTGCTGACATAAAGGGTATAGTTCAAATCAGTAAAGATGTAAAGGCATTGGCCGCGAAGGCGAGAGAAGGAAAATTAAAACCGCACGAGTTTCAAGGAGGAACGATTACTGTGTCCAATCTGGGCATGTTTGGAATTAAGAATTTTTCTGCTATAATAAATCCTCCACAATCTATCATTCTTGCTATTGGCACCACGGAGGCTAGACTGATACCTGCCAAAAATGAGAAAGGGTAAAATGATCATAATGTTTCATAATGTTTCCAGACAAATATGATGGACCGTTCGTGGCATACGAGTGTTAACACAAATCTTTGTAGATTCACAACTGCCCAATATATGTCTGTAACTGCCAGCTGCGATCACCGTACCGTTGATGGTGCAATAGGCGCACAATGGTTAGCTGCTTTTAAGGATTTGATGGAAAATCCAACGATGATGCTTTTATAGTAAGTTAAATCGCCATATTTGCCAATCGAATGATTCAAGCAACATAATTAATATATAATATCGTTTTTCAAAAATAAAAGATTACTGACCTATGTGTAATAATAACGTAATACATTTTGTATTTTTTTAAATATAAATTTTTATTCTAATACTTTTTAACTCAAACTCTTAATTCTTGACATGTCATTTTGTTTCAGAAATGTTACTTCAAAAAATGATCTACACGTGATTAAAGAGATGTTAAGAGGCGATACATTTTTTATGAATTATTTTTCGTCTCGCCGAACGAGACTTCCATTAATTCGATTAAAAACCTTGAGTAAAGTTTTCAAAAAAAAGTTATATAAAACGTTCTTTTATTCATGAATGGATGAGAAGGCAAATGTTCATTTCAGTATAATCAAAGTTAATAAATAATTCGGATTTGCCGTTTTATTTGACAAGAATGAGAGATTTTTAAAATCATTATCTAACAAAACTGCCTCTAATAGTGGTCATATGTACATATGTGTATTTATGATAATAATTCAAGCGACTGAGTTGCAGAAAATATGATGACTACGTCTTAGGGGAAGTAACAATGAAAGTGTCCAAAATGTTTATAGTAAATATAATTTTAAAAATGTATATCTTATATTTAATAAATTACCTCTATGACATATATTCTACTAATATTCCTATTTTGAATAATTTTATTTTTTTTAATCTTATTTTATTTATATACTTTTTTTATATACAAAAAAATGTTTTATAAGTTTAAAATAAAATATATTTAAAGTATGGCAAAAGCGAAAAAAAGATAGTACATACATACGGTCCATGGGTACGTTCCGAAATTAACTGGCAGTACTGACAGTACTGCTTTATCGTTCCGAAATAGAATTTCAAGTACTGTCAGTTACTGAAACTTATTATCCATTCTACATAAATTGACCCTAGGGAATTACTGAC